TCAAAAAGCACCCATACCCCCTACCCCTAATTAGGCCCTTTTGGGGCATTTTTCGAAATTGAAAATAATTTCATTCAATTTGGCATGTCCAAATTAGGGGGAAATGAGATCAAACAAGTATTAAAAGCCTTATTTTTGCACACAACAGATATGGAAAGTTTTCAAATGAACACCCTGTATATGTTTGATAATACCTGATGGGTTACTCATCAGGTAAACTTATCTTGAACATATAATGGTGCTTATATATTTTACCGTGTGTGATCAAAGTAGCTCGTTACTATACTAGTTGGAGTATAGTCAATACCTTTATGGACAAATCCACGGAAGCTTGGTTTTTGGTTCAAGTCTTAAGAGCCACACCCTTGATCTGTACCGGCTAATCACTAGGTAAGCTGGAAATCACCCAGTAACAGGCTCGAGGCCTATAAAGATTGGTAAATTCTAAATAAAAAGTACTTGCCAATAAATGAAATATTTAGAAAATAATCTTATGCATTCGATTAATATTAATTTTGTGATTGAAGATGAAAAACAAAAAAAGAAAAGTTGAAAAGTTGGTGCGTTCCTAAAGTTGAGGAAGAGATATTTGATAACCAACGGTCTTTTGTTATTGTACCTTCGTCATAATCGTCGAGGTGGAGGTGTATAAATATTGTGGTCATGTTTATTGATTGAATCTGTTAACAAATGTTTAAGTTTTTTTATTGTACCATCATTTATGACTAAAAACAGCAAACGAAATCAACTCAAAAATAAAATGGGATAATTTACTCTTATTTTACTTGATCTTCTAACCACAAGCAAGTCAATTTTCATACTGTGAACAAGCTCATACAATATCAATGGACAGATTATTATGCCCTTGACAGATAAATAATGTAGGCAATATTGCTGCTTCCTAAAAATAATTAAGAAATAACCCCCAATACAGACTGAAAAACATATGTATGGAAACTTTAATTTATTTACCAGACAATATTAAATCATCACGGAATTTGCAAACATAAATTTGACATATTAATGAGAACAAACATTAATTACTAGCTGATTTGTGGAGTTCATGTTGAAATAAAAACGTAATTACATTACATTTAGTCAGCAGTCCATATTCCTTGAACCGCGGATGACAATTGATGCTAAAATAGTATATTAGTTTGGCTAGTTCAGGCGTAATAGCATAAATAATTAATAATATGAGTTCACTTTTACTCAAAATACCGTGTTAAATTAGCGTATTGACATTGATATTAAAAATTATAATCTTAAAAATAAATACAATTACATATTAAACTATAGATAAGCTGTACATTTTTGAACTATTTGTACAATTTTTAAAGATTTGCCGGCCACGGTATATGAACGATTTTGTTTGTCCGTTGATGAAGTCCTGTTGTCATGCCCTGCTCAAAGCTCTCTTCTTTTCGTTGAGGATTTCAACCTGCCGGAAGTTGACTGGACTGCCCCCACCATTGTACCAAATGGTGCAGGATCTCAACACTTGATCGACATGATTGCTGGGTTTGATTTGGTCCAATCCAATGCAATTCTCAATGAACTTAGTGTTACCCTGAATCTTCTACTATGCTCTGACCACTCCCTCAATGTGTGTCACGCTCCTGATCTTCTTTTACCTGAAGAACCTGCTCACCCGGCACTATCTTGCGACATCTTGATTGCTGGAGTACCTTATAGCCCAGTTACTTTAGGTAAGAACCTAGACATGAAAGATATAAAGCTGATTTTTTGCATGGTGATAGTATATAATAGGAAGGGTGTTTTCTGAAAGTTCCTCGAATTTCCCCGCCTTGCTTCCCCTTAAAACCCCCCTCCCCCGAAACACCAGGTTGAAAGTGTAGTGTTTTACTAAATCACCTATATCTTTTGATGTAAACGAGCTATCAGCATAATTGGTTTTTATTTGAGCTCTCCGTTAAATTTACTTTCATAAAATAACCTTACACGTAGCATTATCTCTATTGGGTGGGGTTTTATATGTAATACAAAATAAATATTATTTGATTTAAAACGTGAAGTTGTAGATTAGGCCAAACGTCGGTTTTGCAGTAGGTAGTACGTCAATGTAACAACACTTTTTACCTATTTGCTGTTTATTTCTAACAAATTGTGAATTGGCTTCTGCTGATTCGATTTTCGTATGCAGAGTGTCTTACTGCCGTGGCTCCACAAATCTCAGTCAATTCTTCGACTCGTGTACCAGCCTCTTCCACCCTTCTCTGTCTTCTGCCAAGTTGACATTTGCACCCATCGTCCTGATGTCGTTCAATACTTGGTCAGTCCATCTCAATTTTGGCCTCCCCAATGGACGTTTACTTCCAGGCGTGGCTCTCCAAACTTCATACAGTCTTGTTCCTCTCTCTCTTCTTAGCATATGCCCTATCCAACTTAACCTTCTTCCTTTACCCATTGCAACAATATCTGGGTCGGTGAATAGTGATCTTAGCTCTCTATTTTTCTTTATCCTCCACATTTCTCCCTCTGAAACTGGTCCAAATATTTTTCTTATGACTTTATTTAAAAAACCATGAGTCGTTGTTCATTTTTCTTGGACATCTTCTATGCAGACTAGTCAAAAATGACGTTTTACAGTAACCAAGAAAATGGGCGAAGTATAGAACCTAAGACGCCATTCTTTATAATGTATAAAGACTATCTAGTCTAAGAAATATTGACTGAGCATATAAAACAAAATATAAAACAAAAATATTGAAGTTTTGGATAAATGTTTTGTAGAGTTAAGAAATCCTTCATAAAAACCTGTAAATAAGAAAGCTATTTTATGACATAACACTCATGACATAAACATTTATGACATTTTCACGAGTATAAAAGCATTAAAGAATATAACAGTCAAATGGTTGGTTACTTTCAAATTAGGGCTAGAAATTCACAAAAGAAACATGCTTTGAAATAACTGGATGTTTTAATTTTTCCTAGTACTCGGGGCCGGCAGCGAACCGTAGAACATATCACTGCCATTACTTACACCACTGTTAGGACATTGTAAACATTACCTCATTATTTATTCCACTGTAGTCGGGCTGTAACTTTAATCTTCCTTTTCACCATGGTAGATTCTCAGTTTTATTAGTCTTACAACAAATGACCTGTTAGCATCCCCTTTGTTTATATGATCATGAATACTATCATTTACCAACATACTATTCTAGCCTATCCCTTTGAAGCTAGAACTTATCTTTTGATCTTCTACTGTATTAAGTGGGGTCGCCGGAATTTTACCCCCTGAGTAGATCTGACGTCGCTATGACGTAGTTTTCTGAGTTTGTTCTCAGACGGAATTTTAACCCCACGAATTTGGGAGTCTAATGAAAATAGACAGCGCGTGATTTAAATTAGCAATAAAAGCCGAAAGTTTACCCCCTTTTCGAATAACTAGGGTTTAGGCAACTAAAGATTTTTGCCCCCGTTCCATATTTTTACTCCCCGGAACTTTACCCCCCGGAATCTTACCCCCGGAATTTTATCTCCTAGACAGATATAGAATTTGGCAATAACAATAAATTTTGTTAATAATACGAATTTTTAAATCAAATTGAATTAAAATAAGACTTTTTATATTAACGAGCGGAACTAAAAATTTCTTATAACAACCAAACCAGACAGCTGATTTTCACATTTAGCAGTACAACAATGTGCTAGTTTTGATTTATTTGTTTTATATTGTGTAATTTATTATAGAGTTAAGTAAGATTCCACATCCTTTGCTGTATCAACCTACTGTTGGCCATAGAAAAAACATACTCCCAGGCTTTTCCCCCGAATTGTCAAAGTGTAGAGAATGTGACAATGGTTTTAGTTATATTTTTCCCAGAATCAGTAGGACAACTGAAGTTTGTACAATTTTTAAATTTATTTTGATGTTTTGTTTACAAATTTTATTTGCCTACAACATTTCATGTAAACGGAGGTAAAAAATAGTTAACTGACTAAACGTCTTTTTGTAAAAACGCCAATTATGTACAAAATTCATTATTCCCGCCAAATTATATATCTGGACAGGGGGTAAAATTCCGGCCCTCACACTCTAGGTTTTCTAATTTAATTTGTTTTGGTTGAATTCACAACCGTGAAAGATGGGTTTAACTCAGCATTTAATTTATCAACTCAGGTTGTGCAACTCAAAAGCTCACGGCCGAAATTTTACCGCCTAGGCTGTGACGTCAGTTATGCACAGGGGGTAAAATTCTGCTACCCCATTAAGTGTACTCCAAATATCAACAACTATTTCAATAGACACCATAAACGTATTGACTTCGATAAACACAATGTCTATCCAATCCACGTATGTTTATCCTATCTAAGCCACGTAGGATTGGCATGATTTTGTTGTGATGGTTGGTAAAATTGATAAAAGATCACTAAACTGTAAACAAGTCTTTATATAGATTATAAAATATGAAGACCTATACAATTTAAAATTAAGACTCTTGTTTAAATTCCGTCTAAACAGGGATCATACCATGTTTAACGTAGGCTACCCTTTACCCTCTACGTAGGTTGGGTTTGTTCAATGTTCTTTCTGATTTAGAGACTCGAATCTCAGGCAATGTATCAAGTCCAGGCTTCTCCAATCAATTTACTATTTGTTTTATTTTTATAATCAGCAGAATTTTAAAACATACAGTTATTACGGATATCCAATTAATATATATATAGTTACTGTATGTGTTAAATAAACGTTTGGTCGTTTGTGGCAACTTCATATTTGAGTAAATATTTGAATTCCTGAAAGTGATCAAAAAATCTCTTAGCAATAATTCACATTGTTACAAATACAAAGGCAATCACACACACTCACACACACACTCATCGCCTACATATAAACACGTTTACTACGCATGACTTTGTCGTGTAGTGGGTTGGGTTAAACAAATAAAAGAATACATTAAACGAGTATTTATGAAATGTGAACCGGTTATTCTATAAGCAACTCAACAACTACGTAGAAGGGTACTTACGGATCCTCCGCCAGCGGATTCTCCGAAGAGCGTGCAGAGTTCTGGGTCGCCGCCAAAGTTGGCGATGTTCGCCTTTATCCACTGAATGGCCAGGGCCTGGTCCCACAACCCCAGGTTGCCAGGGGCCTCCTCGCTGCCTGTGGGCAGTTCTGGGCTCAGGTAGAGGAACCCGAAGGCTCCCACACGATATTGCATGGACGCCACGATCACATCGCTGGTCGCAGCGACCATGTCTGCGTCATAGATGTCCAGAGTGGCAGTGCCCGACATGTAGCCGCCGCCATAGATCCAAATCAGTACCGGGACCTGGAAAGTAAAAACATGTGAATGTTACCAGTTAAATCCCATATGTAAATAACATCTGCGACCAAGTGGAATGCATCGATTCTTTAAAATCTGGCAAAAACACACGATTTGAAATACATAAAAATATTTTTAATACACAAGTCACTAAAATAAGTTAGCGTTGCTTCATCTGGCACTGCTAATTCTTATAGTAGAATTTAGCTAATCTACCTTGTTATGTATTTGGTAATCGTTCACAAAATCGCAATCGTTAACTGTCTGAGTTTTATAGTTACGTATACCTGATCCTCGATCTACTTCCCTTGGATATCCAGGAGTAACGACTTCGTCGGTGTCATATCGTTCAGAAGTAAACTTATTTTGTACTTCAAGCATATTTGTTTACTACTGGTATATGAATCAAAAGTTGTGTTATGACTTGACAATGTATTGAAAAAAACTATCCCTTTACCGATGCGTGTATAACCTTTTGTAGAAATGAACATTATATAAAATACCTTTCGAAATATATATTTATGCCCGCTCGCGTGTAGTTTGATTGACTATTCTTCTATTATTCTTACATTGGGCATAAGTGTATGATTTTACATAACTCTTTATTTATATTTATAGTGATCTTGGTACCTCCGCCGGGCAAACCGTAGCGCAATGCCCTGTTATAGATGTCTCTTATATGCCTCATAACTGCCTAATCTTATAGATTCATCCAACCTTATAAATGTATTATTCCTCGACTGGAATCTAATCCGTGCTATATCAAGTCATTACATTTTATCAGTAAATAAGTAACTTCTCGACCAGCATTGTACGTGTTATTCAACTTACGGAAAGTAAATAAAAGAAACATCTTATAACACTTAAAACATATATTTACGCTTATACAGCTACTCACAAGATGGTAAATATACATCAAAGATGGTAAGTGGTGATCGATTTCAATCGTACACTCCAATCATCATCAGACCCAAATTCACACAATGTCATTCGTCTATTGGGTCTGATGATGATTGGAGTGTACAATCGAAATCGATCACCACTTACCATCTTTTATGTATATTTACCATCTTGTGAGTAACTGTATAGGCTTAAATACATGTTTTAAGTGTTATAAGACGTTTCTTTTATTTACTTTCAGTAAATATAAGTTGCATTTTAAATGGTTTTAATTTTTATTAATCTTGTATGAACTGATTATTTCTAAACATTAATAGAATGTTAAAGCATTAAAACATATCACTTTTGCTGACAAAAACACTCAACCGATCCATCTCAATATTAATTTTATACTTTAAATTTAGATTTAAAAGAAAGGATAAGAGTTTTGGCAAATAGATTTTGCTAAAATAATTAAGTTATGAAACACAAATTGCAAAGTAACAAGTATTACATGTTATAATGGAATTTTGTAGTTAAACCTAATTATGAAATGTGAAAAAATCTATAAATCCTATACAGTAATTTTTATGTATTTATTTTGCAGTATTTGGCAATGATAAGAAATAAAACAAAAATATCGCAGTTTGTGAAGAAATATTAGTTTACTTGTAAGTAATGAAACAACTATTAGCACAAGTAATGACATTTTTGCCAACATATTATATGTTACTATTTGATTTTAAGTTTAAGTGTATGTTAAATATAAAAGGTTGATAATTCTTAGAAAGTGATTCCTAACTGTATTAGCAAATGTTTTAAAAGCACACAAAAACCTCCAGGGGAAATTTGAGAGTCTCCCCAAGAGTCAAGTAAATTATGGGAGACTCTTTTAAAACTGTTGAAAGTCATCTCTTCAAAGCGTAAAAGATCCCAAAGGTTTAAATATTTTTTCAAAACAGTTAAAATATAAGATAAAATGAGTTGATTGTTTCGAACAATACAAAATTGTGTTTTTACTAACCCTAAAAATGTATTTTTGTAAATGTAAAGTCGATTATTATTGATTATTATTATGCTAAGTAAGACTCTTGTTTTATAACAGTTTTTAATTATCTTAGTGCTCTTATTTGATTGGAATTAACAATACAGCTAACAAAACGACAAAATAATCGGCCCAAAAGGAAGGGAAGGGACACATCTGTCATTAACATTTCCAATTTTGATATGAGATTAGCGTTAAAAAGGTAATCCGTTAAACAGCAGGGAAAAGTCACTGATCGTAGTTTACATAAATTATGACATTAACTTAGAGATAGTACAGTAACAAAATAGTCGCCTATTAAATTATCTAATTGACTAATGAAAATGCGGTTGTATTTCAAACATTGGTAGACTGTATTAGGGACATAAACGTATTGCAAAAACATGGAATTTATTTATTTCAACTAACATCTCCATTTTTACGGACATCTCCTTTTAGTAGAAGATTAAATAAATGCTTTTAGCTCAGCTTCATATGAAATATTATATCTAAATTAAAATAAAAACATTATATAATAAAGGCGTAACAAGTAAATATAAATAAATCGATAAATAAACAATAATTCAATATAATAAAACATGATTACAAATATACATTCTTAGGGTTGTTGTCAATAACAGGACATCAATAATAACAACATAAAACAAAACACTGTTTTATGTTTTAAGTTTAACATTACAATGTCTGAGTTAAACTCTGATAACAAATATCTCGTATTTTATATCCAATAAATAATATGTGACTAATTTCTTTCTATGAGAATGTCACTTAACTCAATACATACTGTAAATACTCAGTCAGACATTTTACTTAAACCGTCACAACCTAAACCAAAGTACAGAGTAACAATTTTAAGCCAAGGAAAATCGCTCAGCTGCTGGTTATGTAAAATGAAGAAAAGGGGAAAGAGATAAACATGATTTAGAAGGCAAACCCTTAACACAGCCGTGAAGTGGTAACGCTTGTGAAAAATATATAACAACCCCCGCCCTCCCCTCATTCACCTCACCTTACCTACAACGCCGGAATACTCCGCTTCAGATATATGCTGGCTCTGTTTTAACGCAACCTTTGGTTGTGATTTGCCTCATGAACTTTGACACTGTTAAACTTTTACTTTTACAGCACAAAAATGTTAAGTTTATGATACTGTAGATGAATTGGCAACTTATAAGGGGCTTGCGTGGTTAATATAAATCAGGAAAAACAAAATGAATACTATTGGGAAACATATTATATCATCAAAGCGTTATTTTAATCCTGTAAATAAAACTGTGAAATCATCATTCCCCAATATGGATTCCTAAAGTTTTTATCATAAGTTATTTTAAAGAATGTAAATAAAAGGAGCTACCGTTTTGCTTGCCCAAAGAGAAATACTGATTAAATGGGAGGTTCCCGATTAAATATTGTAGGTTTGTGCTTCAGCCAACTTGTTTGTTTTGAGATTCCTAAAAAATCTTGCACAGTAACTGCACATCCAGCAAAAAATCTTAATCCACCTAATAGACAGTTAGATGTATCCATTTGTGCGAAATTATTTTAATTTGAGGTAGGTTACTCATTTATACCGACTCTTTCATAAACGTGTATTGTAATGGACTAGACATTATAAAACCCTTGTAATAAACGAATTGTCATTATTAGCGAATTTCCCATTGAGGGAACAAGATATTACCGTAGGTGTCATGGTAAGACCTGGACCTGGGAGTGTTTTACTTTTTCGTTTTGAGGTCCCCAGAGGCCAAAAACACCATCCGTTCAAATTCATGGTTTCTGCGATTTATTTAAAATGGGTTTATCCATCCCACAAACAGTTTGTGTTGATATTATAAAACTCAAGGAAACATCTATTGTTACTAAAATACAAAAAATCTTTCTTAGATTCCACCCAAAACGAAAAACCTAATGAGGCCAGGAAAATGAATTGATGTGCTGTGACGTTACTGAATTCAAAATAAACTGTAGTTTTACTACATATATAACTTCAGTTCAATGTTAAAACATATTTTTTTCAAAACTGCTTGCAATGTAATGCTACAAGAATCTGGGCATGTATGGAAGGGAAGTATGTAGCCAACCCTAAAGGCAATTGATTTGGAGAGTACTTGGGTTGCTGTACTCGGCCCCTCCTCTCAACCTCTATAATAAAACGCTCGAAGAGAAACAAATTTCGTGTGTCACCAACTTGTTAACGGGGTTTAAAAGATCAATTTAAACAGTAAGAAAAACATTTATAGAAATAATTTACTTTAATTGACTACATTTTCCACACTTCTAGGACATATATTTATATAATACATGGAATCTTCTTGAAATTTGTTTTACTAAGAATTCGCATTACATGAACATCTAAAGTAAATACTTCGTGATAGATTATATGCAAAGAAACTTATAAATAACAAATAACAAGTCAGTCAACACAACAAAATAGAATAATCAGCTTATTCAATGATAATAAAGTATCATGTTTTTGGCAGTATATAGGGGAAACAGTAAATTTTAACTGCAACAGCTCATATTAAGTATATTTTTCTTTTCGGTACCTATGCAATTCAAATTATTTTTCCTTACGCCAGTCAAATTTTAATTAAAATTAAAGTTCGTCAAAAACTTTTTAGGTAAATCAGTCCAAATACATTAAAGTGTTGTGAATGTGCCGGGAATTGAATCCGTCTCTCCCACACCAAAGTCCAAGACGCTAACCACTAGGCTAGCAACACAACCAACACCTTTGAATGAACCTAAATATATTAGTATAAATACATAGTATATTTTTATGTACCATACGTTGTACTTATATATTAAATTTCTTAAAAAAAAATTGGAACTATATAAAGTGTCAACACAGATTTGTTAAACTACCATCCATTTTTTACTAATACAACTTTGTCTTGGTGGTTTAAAATTCTTCTTGATGTTCATGCAAACTCTTAAGTTTTAATTCCATGATAAGTAAAAATTGGTTCAAAAAACTTCTTTATATTTAATTTTTCTATCTTGCAATATGTTTAGTTTGTAGAACTAGAGCTGAAAATGAAAATCATACCTTTATTTGGAAGCAATCTTAAAAAATTATTAA